CCATCTCACCAACCCCAAAATGTACTTTTGATATTGTAGGTACTGTTAGCTTCTGTAGTTTTCTCTTTTCCCCCAAACTATCAGTGCAAACACTAAATTTTAGAGAAATTAAAGTTGTAGAGTTTTCTTTCTAAACACAGCTTTAAATGTGACTGATGTGCCACTGGAGAGAGCTAAGGACTCCAAGTTCCGAACTGTGAGATGGAGGGAAGGCAGGCGATGGGGAAGCAGACGGATGGGACGGAAGCAGAGGACTTTGCTTCTGCAGTAGAGACCACCCCCTCCTCCTCCTCCTCCTCCTCCTCCTCCTCCTCCTCCTCCTCCTCCTCCTCCTCCTCCTCCTCCTTCTTCTTCTTCTTCTTCTTCAGAAAGTTCAGTGTCTGCTCTTTTGCTTACAAAGCTGCCAGTATCAATGATCTAAACATTGTGCTTTACTTCTTTCTTATCCCCAAACATAAAAATGTCGGTGTTTCCCAAGCTGGTTTATCCCTAACATCTCTGATGCTTACCCTCCACCATTACTACCTCAGATGTCTCAATAGCTGTCAATCACTCATTGCTTACAGTGTATGAGGCACAATGCAGGGTTTTAACATGTTGTCCTATTTAATCTCCCTGTCATCCCAAGGGTAAGAATAATTATGCCTATCACACAAATATAGACACTGAAACCCAAGGAGGGTAAGAGCTTGTTTAAGGCGGCCTTGGGGGATCTAAATGGCAGAGCCAAGACTAGTAACATTCTGTCAAACCCCAAAGCTTTCTGTTTTTCTGGTCCTCTAATTTTCTGCTTTTCTTGACCACATCTTGTAACCACATAAGCTCTTTCTCCCAAGAGACAAATCTAATCACTGTGTGTGGCTACTTCTGGTCTCTTAGGGTTCTTGCACACTGTAGGAAGATTTTTCTGGCCACTGGATTAGGTGTAGATTATAGAAGGGTAAAAATGGAACAAGAAGGTTAGTAAAGTGATGAACAATAACCACGCAGGCCTGGGGTGACTTTGTGCCTCCTAATTTCACCAAAGGCCTTTGGCAAAGTTTGGAAAGATTCTGGTTTTCACAGCTAGTGCAATGTGAATGTTACTGGACTGATTTGGGGCAGGTTAATAGCGCTGGAAGCTGAGAGAGGCAGTTACTTCAGGGACTCTTGGAGGGAGCTGATAAACTATATGGGACTTGTTTGCAGGAAGACTGAGAACGTCTGTTTTTTTTTTTTTTTTTTTTTTTTTTTTTTTTTTGTCTTGCTACATTGCCCAGGCTGATTTGATCTTAATTTCACTACAAGCCCAGGCTGGTTTTGAACTTGTGATGATCCTTCTAAAAATACTGGGATTAGGACTATGCTGTACCAGGTCCTGAGTTGACTCCTGAGGTTTTGACCTGAGCAATGAGACAGATGGAAGTAAAGAGGACTGCAAGGAGAAACAGCAGGTGGCGGTCCTCAGAACATTTATTTATTTATTTATTTATTTATTTATTTATTTATTTATTTATTTATTTTGGTGGTTTTGTTTTGTCTTTTTAGAAACAAAGGTAACCTTGATAACTTTACATTTGCTGGGCATTTGTTCATATACTTACCAATGATAATTAAAAAAAAAAAAGAACTTGACTAAAATCTGACCCTTGAAAGTTGACAGTCTTCAATTTTTTTCTTTTAAAGAAAGTATGTTTTCTGAGTAAACTTATGAGCTTTGAGTTTCTTCTTAACAAATATTCTCTGGAGTAATTTCAGATTATATGTTACCTATTTCCTAAAGGCTTCTTTGGCTCCTTAAGGCTGTGCTATATGCTCCCTGTGTGGCATGTGTTTGCTTCTAAGACAGCGTTTAGCCCTTTGCTACCGGCATCCCTTCTTAGCCGCCAAGTCATATAGATTGGGCCAGGCTGTGCACTGTTAAGTCTCAATATCTAATTAAAAACCCCAAGCCCCTACTTGCATGAGTAAGTGGACATGATTAGTTTTCTCACAAGCTTTCTGCTCACCCACAACACACGAGAGGAAGGTAATAGGAAAGCTGCTACGGAGGTCTCCCAATCTTAAGCCCGAGTAAGAATTCTATCTATAGCATCTCCTCAGAGTCGGGCTACTGCTGCAGTATTTCCAGAAGAGGGAATACTTAGCTTTTTCCATTTATGGGTAGTTCACATTTTTAGAAAGTGCTTTTTGGATTGAATTAAAATCTGCCTCCTTGGTTCTATCTGTCCCTTGGACTTTTTTACAGATTTCATTTTTATGGCATTATTTATTCTTCACATTTTTATAAGACATAAAATCAAACTGATTTTAAATGTCTTTAAGATGGTTCACCTTTACTAGATATCACCACTCAAAAAAAAAAAAAAAAGAAAGAAAGAAAACCTTTTCCTCCCCACCATCCAGTAAAATACACAAGTGTTCTTTTTAATTCAGGTATGTATAGAACACAGATAGGTCTGAAATAGAAAGGGACAAGAATAATGGTGAGTTTAGTGATAACTTTCAGGGGAATGGTCTTGAGTTTCTTGTCCTCCGTTCCAACAAAAGGTGTTGTTACTATATAGCACCTTAACATTACTCAGCATATAATATGTTATGAGGGTTCACTTATGACTGGGATATTACACATTTAAATATGCTCATCAGAATGTCTCTGTTCAACTTTGCAAAATTGCCATAGTGCTCTCCCCTGGTTTTGCTGCCGTGCCAATTCTACTTGGGGAAAATCAAATCCCCTTGTCTAGTTCTAGTTCATCACCTCTGTGTTTTCACTGGCAACATGATCTCCCGGACACTGGAGAGCATGTAGCTTGTTTTTCCCGTCCATCCCTTCATCTCGCTGTCTGTCCAGTGGTGGCCATTGCAATGTTCCCCTTCATCCTCTCCAGCAATAGCGAGAGGAGCCCCTCACCACTTGGTGATTCAGTTCCTGCTTCTCTGTACCGCTCCAGCTTCCTATTTCCCCCCACAAGGATACCCACAACTGCAGCCACTTCCTTCAGCTCCACTGGCATCAACCTGTAACCAATTTTAAAATCTGTAATGTGTGGATATCTTAAAATATCCATTAACTTTCTTCCTTTGCCTCTGTCCAAAGCATCCAACTCCTAATTCCCCTCTCCCACCCACAAGTTCCTCCACTTTGTTTGTGGCCCCGGACTTTCCCACAAAACTCCAAGTCCACTCTGGCTAGCACCCTCCCTCGCTGCATCCCTGTTCACCATTGTGTTTACAGTGGTCTGTTCTTCCCTTCGCCAACTCTAAGAGCAACGGTAATTCTATTTCCTCCACAGGCTTTCCCCCCAAATTGTTGTAGGTCTTATTCACCTCCTAAGATTTGCCATGTGAATTGTAAAACAAACAAAGTGAATGAAACAAATGTGTTCACTTTACCTACTGCTTGTGAAAAGAACACCCATGCAGGCTCGGAAACAGAAACTAGATTCTCAGAATTCTTGGAGCGAGTCCCGAACATCATGTATCCGTCTCCCATCAATTGTATGGTATTAATAGTTTGTACATTGCAATTTAGCACTTAGAGCAACTAAGAGCCATCTTGCCTTGCCTTGTGCCTTAAAATACATTGATTTTATTCTTTGTCCTCGGTGGAAAGCCCTGGAAGGGCAGAGATTATATAGATTCTTCTATAGGAATCCCACTGTCTCAAGCAATGCTAAGTATGTATTATGAATCAATAGACACGTTTTGTTGATTATATATCAGGACAATCCAACACAAGAGACAATAATGCATACACCCCTGTCTAAGAGAGAACATTGTTATATGCTTCAAAAATACCACCATTTAGAAAGAGTCATGTATCTACTTTCTTAGGTTTATTTCCCACATGTTGGGTTCACACAGAGTTTCAGTTTTCTTTGCCTTTAAATGGCATGCAGCTTTCTGGGAAAGTTCTCAGGGAATTTCCAGTCTTGCAAAGCAGAATACACAGGAATGCCTTGCTGATGAATAGAAGTCCATGGCAACATGGCAAAGGCTCAGAAGATTGGCTCCCTCCTGCAACTTACAGAGCTCCTGCAACCTCAATCAGCCGTCTCTCCCTGCACTGCTCGGCTTCCTCATTTGCAAACCTTCTAATTGCATGTGGTGTCTTTTCTATGAAATGCATTAGCACGTGTAAGTAAGCATCCTGCATCTCACAAGTTTCATCACATAGGACTTAATGCTTCCATTCTACAACACTGAAACTATATAACACATATAAAATATGTTTTGTAAGAAACAGTAAAAATAGGAAATCTGCATTTGAAAAGAGTAATCTTTTAAGGAAAACATTCAATTGAAGGAAATGATGCATGATGCATTATATGGAGAGCTTGTCTAATATCCATAAAGTCCCGAGTTTGGGTCCCTGGACCCACATAAAATGGGGTGGTGATACACACCTGTTACCCTAGTACTTAGGAGATGAAGACAGGAAGATCAGAAGTTCAAGATCATCCTGAGTTACATAGACTACCTAAAATGGGCCATGAGGCTGAGTCGGTATAGATTCAAGTCCAGCCTGCAGTTCATAGAAAGTCTGAGGTCCCTCTGAGCTACACAGAGAATTGCGGTTTGAAAAAAAAATAAAGTATATAGTATGTTATGATGACATCATAAGATAGTATACATATTGTATATAGTAATATTTTTAATGCTTGGTCAGATATCTGTATCTCTGAGCTCTTGTTGGGTTAAACAGGAATTCTGTACCTAGGACAGGTTAAAAGTCAACAGTAGACAAAAGATAATCTCCATTTTTGTCTTATCTTTGTGCTTCTGTGATGGGCAAAATTTATTGCTTTGAGAACTTATTTCTGACTTAGGCACATTCTAATCAGACAGTAAGATAAGCAGGAAGACATTTATTTCATATTATTAAAATGGACTTACTTATTCCAACTGAGTAGGATTTAAAGACAAGGAGATGGCTACATTGGAAACGCTAGCAAGCCACCCTCAAAAGCATCCAATCTTCATGCTCAGTTAGGCAACTAAGCCAAATCTCTAAGCTTCATGTATGAGAAGACGAAACTATCTAGAAGACTCCACTCTGTTGGTTCGGGTAACAAACATTTGTGCACTCCTATCCTGGATTAGTGCCGGTTCTCAATTCAGATATATCTGTGAATGAAATACACAAGAGCTCTTATTTGGAGACGTTTTTCAAGGGAAGGAATCCCAACAGTGGTATTTTTCTGAATTTCAAAATGAAAATATATTCTTTGGGTTTTGAAGTCATGTTAATACAGGGCTTCTAGTAAATGCAAACCTCAAGGTCAGAGTTGATTCCAAGAAGAGACAGAGAAAAGGGATCAGGGAGGAAAAAAATAAGTAATGTGACAGTTTTACTTGTCAACTTGATGTAATCTAAAATCATCTGAGGACAGAGTCTCAGTGAGGGACTGTCCCAATCATCATGACTTGTAGGCATGTAGAGACATGGTTAGCTGTCTGTCTTATGATAATGAACACGAGAACCAGCCCACCATCCTCAGCACATTTCCTTGGCCAAAGAACCCAGGACTGCAGCCGTAAAGAGGCTGCTGAGCACACTGGACTGTGGATGTGATGGGAGCCGCCATCCCGACTTCCTGCACGGTGATTTCTCCCAGTGGTGACCTACAGCTGGAACTCTGCAGTCTGTCTTCCCTGAGATCCAGACCAGGTTATCCAGAGAAGATTTTAGGAACTAAATTGCACAAGAGGGGGAGTTTCTTTTGTGTCCCATCAAAGGGCCTTGGCTGCTTTTCTCCCAGGATGGAGAGACAGACACCCTTTGCATGTGAATAAATTGGTGAAAAAATTAGTCTCTCATTGCAGAGACTAAGGCAGTATTAAATGAGAGCTACCATTGATAAAATCAGAATGATATCTACAAAAGTTTTGAACTCTAAATAAAATTTAGAGGCAAACTTCTAAATACACAGCAAAATTTCCTAAAACTTCAAAAACGATGGAGGTGAGGCGGCTAGGGATGTAGTCTTTTGCACTCTTGTGGAAAGTAGATTCTAAGCCCTAACTAATTAATCATAAAACATGAAATTGAATTGTGTTTCTTAAAAAGAAAACCACAATTGACCCCCAGGTTAACTTGTTCCGATTTAAAAAAAAAATGATGTAACAGAATGTTGAACTAATCATAAGCGAACGCAAAAACAAGATAAACCCTTCAATGTTCTAAAATGGAAAAGTATAATATTTGAAGTGAAAAATTACACTCAGCATGTTTAAGAGTAGATTGATCACTAGGAAAAAAGGGATTGGTGAACTTAAGAACAAGTCAACAAGAACTTTATTAAAAGAAAAATAATTCTGAATGGCCCAGAGACCTAGCATAGAACCAAACATGAATGGAGAAAATGAAAAATAAAAAAAGTCAACGTAACGATGCTTAATGATATTCTGCTATACTCATAGCTTGGTGACTATCTTAGTTGTCGCCCAAGACCCTTCATCCAGTAACTGATGGAAACAGATGCAAAGCCCACGGCCAAGCATTGGGCCAAGTTTGGGGAGTCCTGCTGAAGAAGAGGAATGAACATATGAGTTGTTGTTGGGAGTCAAAGACATCACAAGGGAACCCACAGGAACAACTAACCTAAGCTCATAGGAGCTCACAGAGTCTGGACTGACAGCCAGTGAGCCTGTATGGGATCCACTTAGACCCTCTACATATATTTGACAGTTGTGTAGCTTGGTCTATTGTGGAACTCCTAGCAGTAGAAGCAGAATCTGACCTTAATGCTTTGGCTGGCTTTTGGGAACCTATTTCTCATACTGGGTTGTCTTGCCCAGTCTTAATACAAGGGGAGGAGCTTAGTCCTACAGCAACTTTGATATATGTTTTGTGATACCCATGGGAGGCTTGCCCTTTTATGAACAGAAACAGGGGGAAGGGGACAAAAGAGAAAGGGAGGGGATGGGAGAAGAAGGGGGGGAAACTGTGGTTGGGATGTAAAATAAATGGATAAATGTAATTAATAATAATAATAAAGCAAAATAGGTTTCTGAGATGGCTCAGTAGGTCAAGGCACTTGTTGCTAAGCCTAATGACCTGAGTTCAGTTCCTAGGTCTCAGAGAGTGGAAAGAGAGGGCTGACTCCCACAGGTTGACCTCTGACCTTCACATGCACACTATGCCATGCTTGTGGCTCCATAAATAAATAAAATTTAAAAATTTAGACCAAGATATAAAAATTATTTAAAAAGTAAATCATGAGGAACTATCATATAATATTAAGGATAACATATATCAAATAAGTATAAATAAGTAAATAGGCTATTAATACATATACACAATTGGATTCTCAAACAGAGAAAAGATAAAGCAAGAAAATAGACATTAAACGATTTTGAAGAAACAGGTCTAAAATTTCCCAAATTTGATCAGCTAATGCCTATTCATTCTGGTCGATAAACATATAAGTATTTTATGGCAAAACATACATTTGAGTTGAAAGATTTCAATATTAAAAATCAATAGCGCTGTTTCAGTTTTCCATCACTATGACCCAACACCTGAGAAAAACAATGTAAAGGAAGGAAGATTTCTTTTGTTTCACAGCGTCAGCAGTTTTAGTTTGGTGTGTTGACTTCTTCATTTCTGAGGTTATCTATGGTGAGGCAGAACATTATGGAAGAAGGGCATGATGAAGGAAAGCATCCCAGGAAGCCAGGAAGGGGAACACAAATGGGAAGAAGATAGGGACAAGATTTAGTTCCCAAGAATCCATTCTTTCCAATGAGGTCTATTTTAGCTCTAACTATCCACTTTCCACAGTCTGGAGTCATCTGAGAAGGGAGTCTCAAAGGACGTATGCCCAGCTCCTGGGCAGGAAGTTCTGGACTATATAAAAATTCTAGCTAGGCATAAGCCTGCAGGTGAGTCATCCAGCAGCGCTCATCCATGGCCTCTGAGTCAGGTTCTTGTATCACTTTCTTCACTGACTCTTTTCAGGGATGGACTATGACCTCGCAGAATAAACCAGATTAGCCCTGTCTTTCTCTGTGTTGCTACTTTGCCTGCCTAAAACACCTGATTGATCTAATAAAGAGCTGAATGGCCAATAGCGAGGCAGAAGAGGGATAGGCAGGGCTGCCAGAAAGAATAAATAGAAGGAGGAAAAAAAAAAGCCTGAGTAGTAAGAAAAGGAGGAGGAGAGGGGACACCAGGGGCCAGCAAGCCGTGGAGTAAAAAGTAAAGAACAGTACGTAGGACAGAGAAAGATAAAATCCCAGAGGCAAAAGGTAGATGGGATAATTTAAGTTAAGAAAAACTGGCTAGGGGCTGGAGAGATGGCTCAGTGGTTAAGAGCATTGCCTGCTCTTCCAAAGGTCCTGAGTTCAATTCCCAGCAACCACATGGTGGCTCACAACCATCTGTAAGGAGGTCTAGCGCCCTCTTCTGGCCTTAACAGAATATTGTATACATAATAAATAAATATAAGAAAAAAAAAGAAAAACTGGCTAAAAGTAAGACAAGCTAAGGCCAGACATTCCTAAGAAAGAATAAGTCTCCATGTAATTATTTGGGAGCTGGGTGTTGGGCTCCCCAAAAACCAAAAAGAAAAAAAAAAAAAACAGCAAATTTGCAGTTTACATGTTTAGTGCAACAGGGTAAAATAATAAGACTATAAACTCAACAGAGGGGGCACTGAGAGTATCCGAAATACAATGTGCTTTTGGGGGGAGATGGAAAACAGATTAATGTTACTTTTCTCATAAATTTAGGCTTTAGTACTTTACTTTGAAACACTTCTCTCTTTTCCTTGTTTTGGAATATCTTTAGCAGTAGAAGAAGTGTGCAGCTTTTACAGAATGGTGGCAGAGTTAAAGGAGCCTTAGTACATATTAATAGTATGTGAGCAATGTTTAGTTTAACCTTTGCTGGCGTTCTACCTGGGTATAAGTATTTATGATGTAAATGAATGCTTATTGAAAAGAGCCATTTTCATATAACACAAGTAAATTACCATGAACTGACTCTTTCACTAACCAACCTTGTATCCTCTAGCAATGAACATTTACTCTCTCTCCCAAAGATTCATATGTCGAGATCTCAAACTCAAAACTGATGAAATTGGCAAGTGTGATTTCTGAGAAGTGTGGGCCATAAAGGGTGGAGCCTGCACGAATGGAATAAAGGACCTGGGGAGGGGGTTGGGCTCCCTTGCTGCTTCTTCCATTTGAGGAAACACCAGGAAGACCGTGGTCTGTGAAACACAAGGCAAGTCCTTGCCATGCAAAAAATCCAACTGTTGTTAAACTCTCTAACTTCCAGAACTGTGAGAAAGAACTGTTTCTGGTTTGAGCTGGCTCGTCCATGATATTTTGTTACAGCGTTCCAAATGGGCTAAAACAGCATCTTTGGATAAATGATGCAATATGTCTGGCTAGCAAATGGTTTGGTTAGGGCTGGGAGTGTATCTCAAAGGTAGAGTACTTGCCTAGCGTGTGCAGAGCCCAGGTCCTAACCACTGCCGAAGAAAAGGAAAAGGTGATTAGGTTAAATAAACTGTCTTTCAGCCCAAATGGTCTATTATTTAGGCTTCCACTGGCAATAAAATCTGCAAGCAGTAAACAAACCTAGGAAACACAAGAAAAGAGGGACACGCCCTTACTTCAGCCAAAAATTCCATTGGCACGAACAGCTTGATTTAATGTTTGTGAATGTGACCGCTTACACTAACTGCAGGACAAAGTAACACCCAAAGCCTTACTAGACTCGGACCTGTTTCTTTGTCGCCTTGGCCCACCAAAGTCCGCAGAAAATTCCCTTTAATATTTTCTAAAGGAAATGAGACAATTCATGCCAGTGACAATATCGGCAAAGTGAAAGTCTGGCCAGCGCGCTCTGCTTAAAGAGTGCTTTAAAGAAAGATCAAAACCCTTGAAAAGTTCCTGGAGCATCAAACAGTCCCGTTTTCCTGGGGAAATCACCACGGTTTATCAAATTCACCAAGTTTAAAGATTCATATTTGATGAAAACTGGAATAAAATTCATCAACAATATGTTTTAAAACAAATCTTAGAACAATAGTGGGTGAACTGGCCCGGATGTGAGACATTCTGAGTCCATTTTTCTGACTTGATTCCTATCAGATATAAAAATAAATCCAACTCAGTGTCCAGGCCTGCTCCTCCGTGACGCCATGGGAAACCAAAGTCAACCACGGTTTCTAACAGCAATGATTCAAAGGCAGACAGCACAAGACAGACACAAAGACAGAAAGGAGCCTTTATAAAGTTAAATCAGATTAATTATTTTTGAGGCAAGGTCTTGCATTGTGCCCCTTGCAGTCCTGCAACTTGCTACTAGATCAAGCTGAATGGAACTCACAGAGATCCACCTGCCTCTGCCTCCTGAGTAGAGAGGGATTAAAGGCGTGCGCCACTGCAAATAGAAGAAAGGAAATTTTAAATCAGAGGAATCTGCCATATAAAGTAGCTCATGACAACTTTCAACACATCATGTATGGGGCTTACACATGGCAGTAGTCCACCTGGCTTCACACACACGCACGAGTGGACAGTTCAGGGTGAGGTTAAGAGAATCTACCCCACACAGGTCATGAGTGCTGAACAGACTTGGGCAAATCTATTTCCATTAAGGTGCTGAAAAGACCGTGGGAAAGACCTTAGCTCAGGGAAGAGTCAGCTATCACATGAGCAAACACCAAAGCCTCGGTTACCGGAAGAGAGGGGAGAGCTTGGGGTTATTCAGCCCTGAGACACTTGGATGTGTTTCCTCAGAGTCTGTTTGGGTCAGAGAGAGGCTGGAGAGATTTCCACTGAATCTCGGTAGTGTACAGCTACCAACAACGTGACTCTGAGAGACTTCTAATCCGTGTAACGCAAATGGGACACACAGCTCTCCATCACAATACAATGCATAACTTTGGCTTTTTGAGGGCAAGAGTTGAAAATGGAAAAAGCCGGTGGGTGACTACAGCCCCTTCCTGAATCCTACTGGATTTGTGTAGTAGCTAAATATATCCATCAGTGCTTTTAGAGATTCTCTATTACTTTGAGAACATTCCCAGACAAGGAGGTAGGTGAAGAGTTTCTACGTCTTGATAAACCTCTCAATAATACGAATCAGACCAAATCAAACTGAATTAGAAAAAGCCCAAGTTTAATGGATGCTCCTGGTCACAGCAATACAGAAATAACAGATACACTGTCTTCTGTAAAATTACCTCTCCACTGACTTCCTAGTCTTCCCTAACTATCTTGTTAAGGTTTTTTTCTTCACAATTCAGTGAGTTGAGGTTGAAATTATTCTCCAGTGGGCTCAGGGAGGTTAAGTAGCCTTTAAGTTACACACTTACAAAGCTTCCAGGAAGTAGGCATACAATTTGAACTGAAAACCGCCTTCAACTGGATGGCTTTTTCCATTCATGCACACAGCTGCATTTAGGAGTAGGGGCATATCTCTAGGGTATAAAATTTGTCTATCATACGTAAACAAGCAAACATAAAAAAGGGGAACTCTACCCCACAAACAATTATCTGCTGAAAGGTTCAGAATTCTTCCATCAGCATACAGCTAGCAAGCAGCGGAATGGAGTTTAGAATTAAATCAAGTCTAACGTGTTTCCCATTCCCTCGTTATGATGGAGATGCTTCGGTTGTACCCGTTGGCAACGACCTAGCTTGGCTCACAAGAGTTCTGCTGAATTCCGTGACTGCTACTCTGAAACATAATGGCTTATTTCTAGTTTCCATTTTTATTTTTCATGTGCGCAAGTCCTTGAACATTTATTTCTACTGAATAGACTTTTTGGTCTTTAAATATCCAATGAACAAAATCTTTCCATTAGTCATACTAAAGAGACATTAAATATGTAGGATAGATACTTAACTCTAACTCCTAGGTTATCTTTAAAGCAAAAATCTCTATTAAAGAAAAAGATCCAGACAATGTCATTTGACATAAGTTGAGAAGGGAAGAGAATGAAAGGTTATCAGGGAAAAGGAATGTAATGAAAGCAGGAGCAGGTAACAAAGCTACTTGTAGGTCTGGGGCTTTTTTTTCCCGGATCGGAAGAGAAAACACAGGCCCATGGGGTGCCACAAGGTGCTGGGTAGATGGGCTCTATTATCATGAGCAAATACATGGAGGGGTACGAAAGAGAGAGACAGAGTGGTTCATGTCCTGTGGGCAGAGGCAGACCCGAGAAGGTGAAGGCAGGGAGGAGTGTGCGCTGGGGGGCACAGTGATATCTGGACCTGGGCTGCTGCCAAGGGACCATGTCTCCACCTATGGCTCTGCTGTACTTGTGGTCTATGTTGATGTCTGTGGCTCCTATTACCTCCGAAGGCCAAGAGGATAGGGCTGCACAGAGTTGAACCACCCGTCACTGTCTGCAGGACTAGAGAAAATTGGTCCTATCCCCCCCCCCCCCCCGGAGCACTGGAGAGAGCAGGTCCCTGCACCTTGCCTGGGCAGCACGGGGGAGCTGACTCTGTCGGTGGCGCTGTGAAAGAACTGGCCTTGAGGAAATGATAGTGGGAGACCTGGTCCCATCCACTTCGTCTATCATGTGGTGGCATGGGTGAGGGAAAGATGCCCTTCCCCCTTACCACCTGCCCCAGCCCCTTGTCAGCTGCAGCGCTAGGGAGAGCAGTCTCTGCACCTCACCTAGGCAACACTGTGGAGCTGATCCTGTTGATAGCGGCACCTGTGAGCGATCCTGCTTCCAGGAATCTCAGAATGAGTGTATCTGAGAGCTGTCTTCTCCCGTCTTAAATTTCTCTCTAGGGCTGGATGCGCCACTACCGCCTGGTTTCTATAGCAAACTTGTGTGGCTACTGGGATTAAAAGTGTGTGTCACCACTGCCTGGCCTGTAAGGCTGACCAGTGGGGCTGTTTTATTCTCTGATCTTCAGGCAAGCTTTATTTATTAAAATGCAAAATGAAATCTCACATAGACACAAACTTGATCCCCAAGATCCACATTTAAACAGAAATTATTAGATGTGGTTGCCAAGGCTTCTAATCTCAGCCTTTGAGAAGTAGAGACAGGCAGATCTCAGGGGCTTACTAGCCAAGTCTAGGCTACTAGTCACGTTCTAGGCCAATGAGAGACCTCATCTCAAAGAGTGAAAATGAAAATGTCATACCTGAGAAATGACACCTAAGGTCATCTTCTGACTAACGTGTGTGTGTGTGTGTGTGTGTGTGTGTGGTGTGTGTCTGTGTATGTGTGTACAGAGATAGAAGAGATACTATTTAAGTCCTAAATCGCTACAGAATTCTATACTAGGATCTCAGTTCTCACTGCACCTTACAGTCAGCAGAAGCACCAATAAATAACCACTTGAACTGCTGGCAAAAGCTAACTTAATAGGTACAGGGTTGGAGCTTCATTATAACTCTTCCAGGCAGTCTGAACCCTAATTATACAGCCTTTGGCCATCAGTCCTGGAGGAGCCTGGGGAAGAATGCATTTCTTTGACTAACTAACCAGCACATTCAAACAAACAACAACAAAAAACCCCACAGCTCCCAGTTAATGAGTCACACCTTGCTAATAACATCAATGCTAGTTATTACACAGTCTATGTTTTTACTTAGTTGATTTACTTATCGGCATCTCTTTACCAAGTACATAACCCGAGTGACAAGAATCATATTTCTAACGAGAGATATCGTCTTAGTGTTGGGCCATTTACAGTACCGCGCATGATATACCCCTTTCCACACCTCAGTGTTAAATGAAAGGCTTTGTCTTTAGCAGCTCTCTCTGCTCATCTTTCTGTGCTGGGTTCCTGTGCGTGGTGGGGTGGCGCTCAGCACGGCTGCTGCCTTTGTTCTTCTGCTCATCTCTTCCTTTGTAACGCAGCAATTAGTTTTAAGATGAAAGCTAGTGCTGACTACAAGCATCTTAGCTATTAATACTGCTGGCTAATGCGCCCCTTAGAAGACCAGGCAACGGTTAGAAAGAGGAAAGTTTTCTTTTTATGTCCTTTCTTTGGTTTGTTATGACAATTAGGGGAATAAAGTGCAGAAATTACCTCTTTTGCATACATGAGAGCAGAGATGAAAAGAGTGAATGATATTCAGATAAAAAGTTGTGAGTTTGCAGAAGGCAATCAGTATCCTTGTATCCTGGAAGATCAGGAGTCCAGCACTCAAATCCATATCTTTATAGAGAGGCAGTTTGTTTCCAAACAAACTATACAGTGGCTGATATATGTACACATTTAAGGAGGCAGATATGTTTGACTTTTGCCCAGTGCGTATGTTAACCATTTACAAGTTTATTATTAAGAGAAACATCATCTCCTCAGTGACTACAATGGACTTTTTTTTTCCTTTTACTGAAAGCAGATTTTTTTTCATAATATATCCTGATTTTGGTTCCCTTCCACCCCCTCCTAATTTCTCTCCTCCTCCCCTCCCACCCATATCCATTTCTTTTTGTCTTTTATCAGAAAAACAAACCAGCTTCCAGAGGATAATAATAAATTAATATAATAAGATAAAACAAAAAACTAGCACAAATAGGACAAAACAAACAAACAGAAGGTAAAGAACCCAAGAAAAGGCACCAGAAACAGAGATGCAAAAGTTCACTCATTTGGACATTCAGGAATCATGTAAAAACACTAAACTAGAATCCATAATATATACACAAAGGACATGTAGGGTTAAAAAAGGGGAAAAATTAAAATTGTATAATTAAAATAAGATAAAACAATTTAAAAGCCCTGCCATGCCATTATGAGACAAGGAACCTCCCCAAAAGGCCACTGAGTCTGGGCATGCAGCTGAGCCGACCTGTAAGAGTAGTGAGATTCCCTTGGAGAAAACTAAACTTTCATTTGCAAGTAGTTATCCATTGGAGATTGCCTCTAGGTTGACATGTGTCCACTTCTTTCAGTTCTAGGACCTTTTTATTTTGATCAATCATTTAGGACTGTCTTTGCTGGCACAGTCTGTAAAGGCTGGATACATTCCTGCAGTCCTTATAAGAATTCCTAATAACGAGAAAGTTTAAAGCTTGGCTTGTCTCTTGGAAGGTCCCCAGGATCAGAAGGATAGCTACCTGAGGGATGGTTGCTGTGATTTTTCTTCCACCCCTGATAATATTACCTTCAACAGATCTGCTTTCCTCTTCTTTTCTCCCGAGTCTGTCCATGTCTGCTTGGGCAGTGCTTACTGTACCGAAGAGGGCTGGAAGGGTTAAATTTGACGTGAGTTCAGATATCATCAGCAATAATGAGCATATTTTGATCGTAGTAGATCATGAAACATTTTAGATGTCTCCACAGAATATCCATGTTCTTTAGTTGTATAGATGTTGTATAGGTGTTCTTTAGTTGTATAGATGCGATATTCTAAAACTATTTCCCACATCCTCCTAAGAGACTGGAACTTGTGCCCACAGACCAAGTTAAAAATACACCTTGAGATCAGTTAAGATTGCTACCCTACGGTGTACTCACACTGTTTATTTAACCTGCCCTCAAGAGTACAATGTAACAATTAACCTCCCTTGCCTTGGACTTTCCAGTTAGCTTTTACAACCAAAGCTAAAGCACAGCTGTGATCTTAAACTCCCTACCCTTCCATGCCCTTGACCCAGAACATGCATGTGCGACATTTGCAGAAGGCAGCAAATACAAAGGTTGAAAGCAGCCTTGTGTGGGTTCTGGTTGATAAACAAACGCGTTCGTGAGAACATCCCATGTTCCTCTTTTTGGGTCTGGCTTACCTCACTCAGGATAGTGTTTTCTATTTCCATCCATTTGCCTGCAAACTTCAAGAAGTCCTTGTTTTTTACTGCTGAGTAGTACTCTAATATGTATATATTCCATACTTTCTTCATCCATTCTTCAATTGAGGGGCATCTAGGTTGTTTCCAGGTTCTGGCTATTACAAATAATGCTGCTATGAACATAGTAGAGCATATATTTTTGTTGCATGATAAGGCCTCTCTTGGGTATATTCCCAAGAGTGGTATTGCTGGGTCCATGGGTAGGTTGATCCCAAATTTTCTGAGAAACCGCCACACTGCTTTCCAGAGTGGTTGTACAAGTTTGCTACTGAGACATCAAGAACAGTGGCAATGGGTCTTTGATCCTACTGCATGTAGTGGCTTTGTGGGAGCCTAGGCAGTTTGGATGCTCACCTTACGAGACCTGGATGGAGGAGGGTTTTCCTCGGACTTCCCACGGGACGGAGAGCCCTGATTGCTCTTTGGGCTGAAGAGGGAGGGGGAACGGATTGGGGGAGGGGGAGGGAAAGGGGAGGCGGAGGTGGGGAAGAGACTGAAATATTTAATAAATAAATAAATAAAGAAAAAAAAAAAAAAAAAACAAACGCGTTCGTTACCCGATCAGAGGGAGCCGCTGACAGCCCCTTTACAACTCTGCTAGAGTTTCCTGCAAAGTGACCCAGTCTTCTTCCTGGGTTGTTCAATAGAAACAGAACAAAGGTCTGTGTCCTGCCCTTGTTGGAGACAGACACACAGAGATCACACAACAGCACACACAAACACAGAGACAGACAACGGGACGGGGACATACACAAGACAGCCTTCAGGCAGACAGGGATTCAGACTCACGCAACAGACAGACAGAGGGCAGAAGACACAAAGAATTCAAATCTGGTCTTGACCTTGGTTAAGTAACTCCAAGGGAAAGTGTTTTCTTTCGGTCATGTGACACCTTCCCATTATTGGTGACTCGAGGCTAATCACTAGTTCATAGAACATGCACAGTTAGTTACCGTAATGTTTCCTCAATAAACCATATGCTACATTTCTTAGTTTCATGTAACTGCTTGTATGTGATCGCTAATATTAGAGAATGCTCGGCTGTATTATACAGCTCCAGCTAACTGACTGTTTCAACACTGATGATAAACATCGATGGCCTCTTTCAGACAGAGTCCAGTGGGGCTCATTTGAGGTGTGTGGAAGAAACAGCTGCGCTGGGAGGACTGGCTGGAGCCGGTTGCTGTTTATCGCTTAAGCTGAGGGGATCAAAGGACATTTTTGGCAGAGAATTGACATGATTTTTCTTTTCCTCCTGAATTCACATCACTGGGATATTGTGCCAACACTGTGATAAGGTTTGAGAGAGGCACACCTCACACAACCGTGTGATAACCCAGTCATCCTGCATATGAACTACAAAACAATTGACATTTACATTTTAATCTTTATTTTTAATTGTGTGTGTGTGTGTATGGGTACATGCATACAGATGTCCCTGGAGGCCAGAGGACTTGGATGCCCCTAGACTTGGAGTTGTAAGCACCTTTAAGTGGACCAATATTGGTGTTAGAAACTGAACTTGGGTCTTCTGCAAGAACAGTATGCTGAACACAACCCACAGAATCAACTAACTAGGACTCACAGGGGCTCGCAGAGACTGAACCAACAATCAGGGAGTTTATATAGGCCTGACCTAGATCCTCTGCACATATGTTACTGTTGTATAGCTCGGCGTTCTTGTGGGACTCCTAACAGTGGGAGTGTTGGTGTCTCCAACTCTTTTGCCTTCTTTTGGGACCCTTTTCCTCAGACCAGGTTGCCTCGTCCAGCCTTGATATGAGGGTTTGTGCCCAGTCTTACTGTAACTTGTTACGCCATGTTTGGTTGATATCCCTGGGGAGATGGCTAAGTGGTCAAGAGCATTGGCAGCTATTGCAGAGGACGAGGGTGCAACTCTCAGTACTCATATGGTGGCTTACAATGGTCTATAACCTCAGTTGCAGGGAATCCCATGCACTCTTCTGGCCTCTCTCAGTACCAGGCATGCATGCAGTACACCTACCTACATGCAAGCAAAACACTCATACATGTAAATAGAAATAATTTAAAAATTTTAAAAGGAGTCAAAAAAAATCAAAAAAATGTTTTCTATGGAGTGTAATCAAAACCACAACATGTGGGGACGCTGCCAAATCAAAGTTGGCTGGAAACCTTTACATCATTAAATGCTTATATTAGAAAGATCAAAAGTCAGTTGTGAACATTCTCACCTCTGTAGCTCTTTTTAAAAAATTAAGATCAAAGGGTAGGGCAGGGGGATTTAAAATTAAGAAATCACTAAAATAGGAACAGAAACAATAGAGGAAAAATTCAAACTAGAACTTCGTGAAGAATGCTATGATTATACATCCCTTGGATTAGTGGACTTTAATCAGAGACAATGTCCTCCCTGATTCTCAGGGTACTTGGTGATATCAGGAGACACTTTTGGTCCCACCATTGTGGAGCTGGTATCATCATGCAGAATCCCAGGAATGCTTCTCATAGCTGAGAATGTCACACCCCCGGGGGCCCCAAACATTGCTAATGATCCTGCTGAGGTTTCTTAGGGGAATATTCACAACACAATTTCTCCTTATGAATTGAACAGAGACATCACAGACTCTGTAGGCCCTATATTAGTATATTACTGATAAATGAGTATTCTGAACAGCCACATGTCATAAATCCCAATGTACTTAAACAGACAAAACTCCTGAACTTAGTTGAACAATAAACAGATAATTGGAATACGTCTATATTCTATTAAAGGAATTTAATCTTAATATTTTCAAAATATGGCAGGGTTGTGTGGTAAAAAAGCCAATTCTGCTAAATCATTAGGAAAGATATAATACTAGTTGTATACTTATAGACAATAAAAGAGAAGAAATACTTGCCAACTCAATATATACGAAGATTTTGGGCAGATAAAAATAAACAATACTTTATAGGATTTGACTCCATGATCAAATGGAGTTTATCCCAGGATAGCAAGGTGGTATTCCTATTAAAAGAAGTAAATTATCATATTAATATGCAGAAACAAAAAGCATATGATCTCACCAGCTAGGTGAAATACATGCAATATTTTATAAAATTTTTTACTAAAGTATGAGTAAAGGAAAATTTTCTAAACCCAAAAGCTTATTTATTAAAAACGTGCTACAGCTAACATCATACTGAGAGCAGGATAACTTTCTAAGTTCAAGCCCAAGGCAAGAATATGCTCCCATATCACTTTTACTGGACATTGTACACTTCGCCAATACAATAAGAAAAGAAATCTGGTAGCAAGGACAAAATAACAAGTAACATAATCACCTACTTACCTAGAAAATACTAAGGAGTTTATATATAAAAAAAAGACAAAAGCCAAAACAAACAAAAACCTACCATACAACTTACTAGATGTAATAAATGAATTCAAAAAGATTATAGGATTAAAAAGTCAACAACAGGTTTATATTTTATTAAAAAGTTCTTGGCTGTTGCTCCTCTTAGTTACAACAAAAGAAAAGGTTTTGTTGAACTTTTAGCATCATTTGAAAATATCTTCTTTCTACACGGGTTCTTCAGGGTAATAAGAGTTGAATACGATTAAAATCCATTATATACATATATAAAGCTGTCATAAATAAACCTATGATTATGTGCAATCAATACATTCTAACAAAATATTTTTAAACGGTAAAAATAAAATAGTACTTCTCATTTTTCTCAGCTTACTTTTGCTTCTCTGATGAAACACAATTTTATTTTGTTCCCAGCCTATACTAAACATGCTCCCGGCAAGGACATAGTGAAATCTTAGCCCCCAATCTATAAGGTATCTTTTACACTATTTTCATGGTATCCCACCACCTAGTCCAACCACTCTGATACTTTCTTGCTTTGGTGTCCATGACATTTTCATCAGCTAATTCTCCCCTGAACTCTCTGGTCACACAATTTAAGTATTTCCTTAATAATGCTGGATGGTGTGGGTGCATGCCTTTAATCCCAGCACTCAAGAGGCAGAGGCAGGAGAATCTCTGAGTTCAAGGCCAGTGTAGTCTACCGAGCGTGTTCTAAGACAGTCAATTCTACACAGAGAATTGTCTTGAAAACCAAATCAAACAAATACAAACCTCCTCATTATCTATGTGTCTAAACTGTTGATCTTCATATGCTTGAACCTCGTTTCCTGTAGTCCCATACACATTGAAATTCTGAAGAAATGAAGAGTGACTTTTCACAAAAGTTCTAAGAAAAAGCAGGAATTGAGAACCTTTTAAACATTCTTAAAGGCTTATTTGGTGAGTTACTTGGTTTATTTAAAATATATTAGTAATCAACAGTGTTACATGTTCAGCCCTGTTAGATATGCTTCCATTTTATCTTATGACATGATATTAAAATTAAGTACAGCTTCCTTATTTTGTTATCCATAAACTTTGTCACATTTCTGCCAATAGTCTGAAAAATTGATTTTATTCTGTCAGTAATGAGAAACTGTAAGGCACTAAAAAATACTTAAGCGGTGGTTTTAATAAAATAACAATAACCGCTATGATAATAATAAATCTCACTTCTATAATCAAACAACACTTTTATGTGCTTTTAAAAATTTCTTTATATATTTTGGAGATCAGACCTTTGTCAGTTGTGGGGTTGGTGAAGATCTTCTCCCAGTTAGTGGGTTGCCTTTCTGTCTTAGCAACAGTGTCCTTTGCTTTACAGAAGCTTCTCAGTCTCAGGAGGTCCCATTTATTCAATGAGGCCCTTAGTGTCTGTGCTGCTGGGGTTAT